TACGCCTGCCTTCTATAGGTATTAGTTTAGTGCTGCTGCTAATATTTGTATAGTGTATATAGCCACGGCTAGTAGTGTTCTGCTGTGCGCTTAGTTGCAGTTGCAGCGGTTCTGCGAACACTATAACTTCCACCTAACCCTAACTAACTACACGGGTTAACCTAATGCAAATCGGCTGGGGGGTGCAACTAAATACGCTGAATAATATACTAAAATTTAGTGCAATTCCGGCTGCGGGATATAAATAGAACCTGCCTCTAAAAAATAAATAGAATAAGCCCTGTGCCTAAATCTACGCCCTGGTCTGGTATTTTCTATCCTTAATAAATAAATAGAACAAGGGCTGGTTCTATTTACCGCTATAGGATAGGCTTTCTAGAATCCTATATAGATACCTACCTACCCCCTTTTTAAACTCTAACTCTATACTTAACCCTTACTTTCTAACCCTACTTTAAATACTTACTGCCGCCGCCTTTCTAGAATCCTATATAGGCACCTACCTACCTTTCCCCCTTTTAAAAATAAACTCTTTTAAACTCCGACTCTATATTTAATACTTACTTTCTTGCTCTACTCTAAATATCCGCTACTGCAGGCTTTTCTTAACCCTATATAGGCACCTACCTACTCTTTTTTTAAAAACAACCTTTTTTAAACTCTAACTCTATACTTAATACCTGCTTTCTTATCCTACTTTAAATATTCGCTGCCGCCGCCTTTTCTTAACCCTATACGGGCACCTACCTACCCCTTTTTTTTAAAAAACACCTTTTTTAAACTTTAACTCTATATTTCCTTTTTACTTCTATACTCTACTCTAAATATCTACTACTGCAGCCTTTCCCTAATCCTATACAGGCACCTACCTACCTTTTCTTTTTAAAAATAAACTTTTTTAAACTTTTATTCTATACTTAACACTTACTTTTTTATCCTACTTTAAATATTTACTGCCGCCGCCTTCCCTTAACCCTACACGGGTACCTACCTACCCCTTTTTTAAAAATAACCCCTTTTAAACTTTTACTTTATACTTAACACCTGCTTTCTTATCCTATTTTAAATATTTACTGCTGCGGCCTTTCCTTAACCCTATACAGGCACCTACTTACCCCCTCTTTTTAAAAAACACCTTTTTTAAACTTTAACTCTATATTTCCTTTTTACTTCTATACTCTACTCTAAATATCCGCTGCTACGGCCTTTTCCTAATCCTATACGGGCACCTACCTACCTTTCCCTTTTAAAAATAAACTTTTTTAAACTTTTACTCTATATTTAATACTTGCTTTCTTATTCTACTTTAAATATTTGCTGCCGCCGCCTTCCCTTAACCCTATACAGGCACCCACCTACCCCTTTTTTAAAACTCTAATAATCCTAAACTTTCTATTTCCTAACCTGCTTTATAAATCTAATAAATCCCTAATATATTTAATTTAACTCTAATCTACCCTATTAAACCTTCCCGCTAAACTATTATAATATGCTCCCCTAATTCCTATTACTGCCTTTTTTCTACCCCTTTTTTTATATCTTCTTTTTAATAAAATCTCTAAACTTCTTAGAATACTGCACCTATACTATATATACCGCTGCTGCTAATACTTTTTTATACTAACACTTTTTTCCCCTTTACTTCTGCTACCCTCCCCGCGTTATATTTTTTTTATAACTTACGCAAACTCTTTATAGTAATCCGCACTTCTAATACCCTAAAAATAGTGCCTATAACGTTTTCGCCCCCTTTCCTTACGCCTTTTTTATCGGGTTTATCTTTTCTTAAAATATTTTAATTGCTACCCGAATATTCTCCGCTTCCGGCTTATTATAATACTAAATATTATACCCCTTACTCTTTTCCTTCTATACCTAATATTACTAGCAACCTATTTTCTACTGCTCTATTAATTTAACTAATCTATCTACCTCTAATACTTCTATCGACTATAAACTTACCTTTCTAATTACTTATACCTTTTAAACTAACAACTACTGCTTAAATTCCACTTTTTCTATAACCGCCTTTTTTTCTATCTAGAATATTGCTAGTAGTACCCCTAATATACTATCTGCTGTAGTAACGCCCTATATATTATTATCGGGCTTATCGGCGTTTTTAATTATAACTATTATGCTGGCGCATATATTCTAATTAATCGAAATAATTTTATCTATATCCCTGTTAGCGACTACTATATTAGTTATTACCTTAGCTTTTATAACTGCCTTCTTTTTATTAACCGCTACCCCTAAACGCGCTTAATATTGCTAATATTTCTATTCCCCCTCTTTATATTTTACTCGCTCTTAGTTCCTATTTATTACACCGTTAATTATCTTTTTTATACAACCTTTACCTATAATAAATCCCTATATTTCCTTTTTAATATCTTCCCTAAAATCCTACTTATAAACAACGCCTTTTTTATCTATTTAGAATCCGTGTATAATTATTGCTTTACTCTTCCGCCTATTACACCCTGCCCTTCCGCTCTCCTGCGCGTAATACCGCATTTTTCGAATTGTTCTAACGTGCACTACTACTCGAATTATTAGCGTATTAATACCTAACCCTAATACGTTTATAGCTGTAAACACCTGCTATTGCCTTTTAGTTAACTGCTTTACTAACTTGCTTTTTTTTTTACTACTTCCTATATTTTAGTGGAAATAAACGCACTCTAAAACTTTTGCTAATCGAATTGTTTTTTTTACTATATCGCAATATATAATTACCTGCCCCCCTATATACTTTTACTTTAAACTCTTTACTAACTTAATAACTGCGTTTTTTTCCTTTTATATATTATATTATTAAATGCGGTATATAATATTTTTCCGCGTTATTAGCCCCTAAAACCACTGGTATTCTTCCCTAGCTAGTAACCCTATTAATCGAATAAATTCCTTTTTTTCTTAGGGCTAGATTATTACTATTAAATATACTAACTACGTTTCTATTATAACTAAATTCCTTAACGCTAATATCCTGCTCCTCTACCCGCCTACTAAATCCAAAATTACATAGTATTCGTTAATTATAATCCGGTTTAACCGTTCTATTAACCGCTGTTAGTTAATAAAATTGCTAAATACCTTTTTAACCGCCGACTCCGGCGTAACTAATACAACCTGCGCCTATTTTTACGGACTTTAACTATTCTATTTAACGCAACTAATACCGGCTTTATTATAATAGCTTTTTATATCCTTCCGCAATAATACTAATAGTATAACTACTACTATTACGCCTGTTAAATATAATACTAGCAATATAAATAATATGCTCTTGCCTCTACCTATGCCTATAATAGTAACTACCGGGCTCTTATAGTATATAATAGCCTTTAATACTGGTCTCTGCACGCCCTAAAATTCGGCCTTTTCGCCTACTAACGCTTTTAACTGCTGCTCTATATCCACTAATTTTATTATCTTCTACCGTTAATATTCCTTTTTAATAGCCTTCTTTCTATCGGCTACTGCGCAGGTTCCTTTCTTTAGCTTAGTTTATATCGCGCATAGGAACTGTAAAAACCGATACTACTTTATACTAACCCTCCGCAACTATACCCTTCTTACCTTAGTACTAAATATTAACTCTGTAATTAACCGACTATATATTCCCCCTTTAATCCTAGATCTATAGCCGGTCTAGATATTAAATACTTTATCTTTATTATCCGAATTATTCTTATTACCCTATACTACCGCCTTTATAACCGCCTTGGAATTAATATATTAATAGTATATAGCCTTAGTACCGTGTTTCTATACTATAATATTTAACTTAACCCTTATCTATTACAATAATACTTCTTATAATACTATTTTTAAACGGTTAGAATTCCATTTCTTAGGTAACAGGACTATATTCTTTCCCCTTTTATTCTTAGCAATATTTTCGGTTTCTTCTATTACTTTGTATTTTTCTTCTCCTTACTCTTTATTCTTCTCTTTATCCTCCTCTTCTTTATTCTTTTTTTCGTCCTTTTTATCTTCTGCGCTTACTATATTATTAATTTAAACCCGCCTCTGTTTCCTCTATAGTATTATCTAACCCTTTTCGGGCTTAGGCTCCTATATAAATAGACTAATTTCTGCTGGTTAACCGCCCTATATACTTTCTAACCTCTGCTAAAATAGCAATACTAACTATAAATAATACACTACTAATTCGCCTACTGCGCGTAGTAAATATTAGTGGATAACCTTAGCCTTTTTACTAACTTCTATACCTTTATAGTATGCTGTTATATATACTACTAACCCGTTTTTAATAAAAATCCCCCTACTATTACTATTTAGGCTGTTTTAATACTATACTATTATTAACTCTATTCTACGCGCTGGCAACCTACTTATTATATGCACCAACGCTGCTAAATACTGCCGGAATACTTACATCGCTTATATATACTTCTTAATCTTCTTCCCCTTCTATACTAACCCTTGCTTACCTTTTACTACTATAGCGGCTGCTGGGTTACTAGCTCTAATATTAATAAACCTTTCCCTAATCTTCTGCTCCTAGCTAACCCGATTACTTAACCACCTCTTTCTATATACGCCCCTAAATCCTAACTCTTAATTTTACGGGTTTTTAATAAAACTCTATCCTAACTATTACTTAGCTGGGTTATCTACTAAATGCGCCCAATTAATAGCTGGCAATGCAACAGGTTTCTGTCCACTTAATAGCTCCCGTATAACTTAATTAACCTCTTCTAATAATAATAAATCCCGGTGCAACTTAACCCGGGCTATTTCTACTAACCTATAGACTATTAAACATAACTAGGGTATACTAAATTAAATATTACTATATAATAACGTATCGTCCATCTACTTAATTACGCCCTTAGTATTAGTAGTATACCGGATCTTTATTCTATACGCCTTTAACCGCTGCAACTAATCTATAGGGTGTAGTATTCCGCTATATTAAACTAATATTATAAACCGGTCTGCTATCTTTTATATAAATTTAAAATGCGCCGGCGCTATTTCCTCGGCGTTTTTCTAGCTGAAATGCTCCTTCTATTATATATCCGCCGCGCGCTTTTTACGTATTTTTATAGCCTGATATAAAACTAATATATAGGATATATTAACAATAGCTGCAATTTTAGGCGTGTACGTTAACGCGCTTTCCTAACCGTATTGCTAGCTAATACCTAAAACGGCTATACCGCTAATTAATACGCTGGTGTACTTATTATCCGTGAACAGGTGGTCTAATAACGCTAATATAAATGCTAAAACGGCCTTCTCTAACCTTTCTTGCTCCTCCTCGTTAATTATATAACTGTTGTTGCTATTACTGCTATTATTGCTAATATTACTATTATTGCTATCCTTCTTTTTATCCTGCCCTACTATTATCTTAATCTTTGCTAATACTAACCCCTATTTACCTGTTAACCTAAATACTAGCCTCTAGTTTTAGATATTGCCCTTACTCTCCAACTTTTCTATTTCCTTACTATAAATCGGCTCTATTCTGCGGGTTTTCTAAATATAATAGATAATAGCTAACTAATACGCGCTGTATTTAACTATTATCTTGCCCGTCTAGCATATACTAAACGGCTTTTCGTTTATTTTATTGCCGGTTTCACGTTAATTAATATAATTTATAGCTGCTAATCTAACTACGCTAGCTTTAGATACTTACTGCGCCTTCTAAATTACTATTTTAACTGTAAAACACAAATTAGCTAACGCTCCCTTTCTCTTCTCGGGCTTACGCATTAATAACTCTAACTACTCGCTATCTAATTTTTTTAAATACTTTACCTATCCGGCGCGGTTTAACTATATATTAACCTTAAATTAGTTATTATCGGCCTAGATCTAACTGCTCGCTTCCTTATTAGCTCTTTTAATATTAATTGTTGCCTATATAAATACGGCCTCTAATACCTCCTAGATAGGATCCTTTTATTCTTCTTTCTCTGCGGCTAGGTTATGCGCATTTACCTAGAATAATCGGGCCAACAACGCCTTACTGCTAAATTTCTAGTAATACACGCTAACTTCCTATATTTTCGCCCGCTGTATAATACTCTGCTGCCTTTAGTAATAATATCCTCGCTTTTACAGATTCTTCCACCTATACTCCTTTTTATAATAGGTCTATATATTCTGTAAACCGCGCACTATAACTTTATATAGCTAGTCGTTTTTATAGGTTCCTAAATATTTTAATTCGTTATCCTAAATAGGTAAATATAGTATAGGTTTAGCAGTAAGTGCTAGGAAAACAACCTGCCTATTATTCTAGGCCTAATCTTCTATATCTGCTACAGCCTTTTATATAGATTTTCGTGTTGCTAATATTAATTCCTAGTAGTGCTTAGTTAAATGCATTTATAACTGCGTTTTAGTAATGCTATAGCTATAAACTCGGTAAACTATAATATAGTACTATAGGATATACTCGAAAATTCGGGTAAATTATTCTATAGCGTTTAATACGATTGCTATAATAATTGCTGTAACGGATTTACGGTTTAATATAATAATAGGATAATAGAATATTAGATAATAGATAATTAATAAACGTGTTAATCGCCGTGTTAATAGCGGCCGGACGTGCTTTTAACTATTTTTACCGCTACTTAGACCCTTCCTAACGCCTCCTGCTCTTAGCTACCTAGATTATTACACCTATTACTTAACTATATATCTAGGGGATCTATCTATAACCTTGCGTGCCTAGGTGCAACTAGTAGTATAGTAGGTCCTAATTTCCAAGTACCTAGGGCTTGCAAATAGCTTATAATAACTATATCTATTACGAACTTTAGGTACTTAACTACTCTTCTACGTTCGCGCCTTAACTGCGATTGCTGCGCACGGCCACAAATATTATTACAACCCTAACTACCCTAACGCAACGACGATAATATAATCTAACGGTTGTATTATTAATCCGAATAGTGCATTTAATGCGCAATAGTCGATAACTTACCCGCAGCGTTAGAACTAGTAAATTTGGTTGGGGTTTGCCACAGTATAATTTAATTTTCGTTTCTAAATTATATTGTTGCAGCGCACAGTTTAGTTTTAAATTATAATATAGCATATACTATAATATATTTTACCTATAGGTTAATAGGTCGGCTGTAGCCTTAGCCGTAATTGTTCTATAGGGAATTATATATTAGTACTTATTTAAGCGGTCTACTATAACTATAATATTAGTATAGCCTTTGGATTTAGGTAGTTTAATAATAAAGTTAATAGAAATATCTCGCCAGCAACGCTGCAGGATAGGTAGGGGTTTTAGGAAGCTATTATACTTCTCTTTTAAAGCCTTTATATAGCAACAGGTGTAATAGTATACTATAAATCCGCGGATTATTTTAAATATATGCGGCTAGTAGTATTTTTTTTAGAGGATTTCTAAAGTTTTTCTATATCTAGGGTAGCCGCCAACAGGGGAATTATGCACGTAACGAAGCAGTTTAATTTTTAGTTTATTATTATTAGGAATTGCTATTTAGTTGCGGAAGTAGAGCTTGCTATCTCGCTTTTTATATTTGCTTAGGGTAATTTTCTTAAAGCGGTGTACTCCGGAGCGTAATATTTCTAGAACTTTCTAGATAAACTTATTATTTAGGTATTTATCCTTAATAATCTCCTAAATTATTCGGTTAGTTTCTATTAGATTTAACTGCGTAAATAGGTTAGAACGGAGCAGTATTTAATTTTAGGCTGCTTAAGCTTTTTTTTACGCAGGCGTATTTTACGTACAACGTGTTAAGGCGTTAGGCTTTTTACTATACTTACTAGGTTAGTAGGTAATTAAGAAGTTAAATTAGGATAGGTATTCGGACTAATAAGCCTATTAGTGGCTTAACTGCTTTATAGTTATAAAGTACTGCAGGTTTTTATAGTTGCTAAAAACCTAAATTAGGAATACTGCGCCTTTTAGTTTAGGCCGCTACTATTTAAAGCATTAGATAATTGCTAGGAGTTCCTTATTATAGATTTTATAGTTATATTTAGCAGAACTTAATTATTTTAAGAAGTAGGCTATAAGTCGGAGTATTCTTTATTTATCTATTTATAAGAGTACTCCAGCGTTTATATAGTTGGATAAATTGGCCTTAATAATAATTAGCAGTTTAGGGTCGAAATAATAGAGAATTAGGGCGGTAGTAAACGCTGTCTTAAGTTATTTAAATGCCGTACAGCAGGACTTATTAAACCGGAACGGAACGTTTTTCTTTATAAGTATAATTAGGGGAGCGGCCAGGCTAAAGAAATTGTCGATAAATTGTTAGTAGAAGTTTATAAATCTAATAAAGGCTTATACGTCCTTAATATTATAGGGAACTTCCTAGTTATAGATATCTTTAATTTTATTCGGGTTTATACTAATTCTGCCGGTTAATATTATATACCCTAGGTAGATAACCTTATCCTAATAGAATTTGCACTTATTAATATCTAGTTATAGGCCGGCGGCTTTTATTACTTCTAGAACTAGCTTTATATAACGCTAGTAGTTTTTAAAGTTTTCGCTATATATTAGAATATTATTAATATATATAGTATAGAATACGTCTAGGTATAGGCGGAGTATATTATTTACGTAGTATTAGAACGTGCTAGGAGCGTTAGCTAATCTAAATAGCATTACTAGGTATTTAAACAGGCCGTATTGCGTCCGGAAAGCAGTTAGCTATTTATCTTCTTTCGCGATTTATAAGCGATTAAATACAGAAATAATATTAAGCTTTATATAGTATTTCGCCTTATTTAATTATACTAGGGTCTCCTAAATTAAGGGGATTAGGTATCGGTTCTTAATAGTTATAGTATTTAGCGCGCGGTAGTTAATATAGAATTATAGGCCTTCTTTAGGCTTTTTAATAAAGATAACCGGAGAGGTAATAGGTAATAAACTAGCACGGATAAATCCTTTCGCAAGGTTGTTATTAAGGTACTTCCTTAGCACCTTTAATTTGTTTTATAATATTCTGTATAATAGGCTAAATCTATATAGTTTACCGTTTTTAAGCATAATTTTATAATTATATATTTAGTATTTAGGTAACTTATTAGCTTTCTATTAGAAGAAGGTTTTTAGCAAATAGTAATATTATACTAGGACTTTTATAGCTAGGTTAGTTCGGGTTTTTAGAGCTAAGGCCTTATTAATATTGGTAATAGTAATAGCGAAGATTTTATAATCGGGTTATTAGGCTAATTAGGTTATAGACGCCGCGTTTAGTATACGGATATTTATCCGGGTATTAGGTTTAAATTTAGAATTAGATTTAGTTTTAGGTTTAGTTTCTAGCTTAGGTTTAGGGTTAGGTATATTTATCTAGCGTACTATTTTAGGAAGCTAGTAATTATATCGGTGTTATATAGATAGGCTC